TCCTCATTAATAGCAGATTTTGCCTTAGTGTCATTGGGCAGCAACTGCATACTTTGTATGACACTTAATACTTGCTTAACTGACTTTGGTTTCTCATCCCTGAGATGAACTCATTTTTTTTGTGTATTTTTATTTTTTACTTTTAGAGAGAGAGTCTTACTCAGTCAACCAGGCTGGAGAACAGTAGTGCAATCATGACTCACTGCAGCCTTGATTTCCTGGCTCAGGCAGTCCTCTTACCTCAATGTCCTTAGTAGCTGGGACCACAGGTGCAGGCCACCATGCCCAGGTGATTTTCATATTTTTTGTAGAGACAGGGTTTCACCACAGTGCCCAGGTTGGAACTCCCAAGCGCAAGAAATCCACCCGCCTCTACTACCTCCCAAAGTTCTGGGATTACAGGTGTGAGCCACTATGTCCAGCCTCACTCATTTATTTTTTGGAGGCGCTCAATAGTAGAACCAACCAGATTAAGCAGAACCAGGGATTTACACACCTGAACAGTGGTATAACTGTAAAGTCCTAGTGTAAAAGTCACACTATATATCTTCTGAAATAATGAAAATTTACACAAATGAAGCATCCAATTATATGAGTAACAAAGACAGGAAAAAATATGGAACAGAGAGGGCAGAACCTAAAAATTCCTGTTGATGCCTCTTAATTTAAGGTTACCAGCTCCTCCCTGGTGTCAAGGGTATGGTATTAGGGGGATTATTTTCCAGACTTTGATTGTTCAATAGATGTTGACCTTTCCTGAATGTATTCTAACCAGCGTGACTGTATACATCTTGGACTACTGGACATTTCAAACTCTCAGCTTCATATTTTTACAGTCCACTCCCAAATATCTAAATGTGAGCAGCAAGAAAGACTGATGTAAACTTTACTCCCTTATGACAAAATTGGTAAGTTTTTTTCTTACATTCTAGGAGAGGAAAAAAAATCCCAAGCAAATGTTCATGGCATTATTCTGGATGCAGATTTAAGAAAATTTTCTTTACATTTCTTTAGAAATGTAACAGATATGAATATTTGACATTTTCCTGCATTTGTCAATTGTCCAGAATTCTTTGGGCTATTAGTCAAAATTGACATAGCAAAGATAGATGTCCTACGCAAAAAGAGGAAGCAAGTCAAATAAGTAATATACTAACTTTAGGCTTCGAGGCCTAGTGTAGTATCCTGTCTTCCCCTCACAAATATGAGACAGACATGGTTAAATTCTTCACCTCTAAGTGGGCAAGGCCACAAATTATTGCAAAATATGTCAAACTCAAAGTTTCTACAGATTTTCTCTAATGATTTGGACAAACTCTTCAAGTGGTCAAACTTCATTTCACCAGTAATCTGTCAAATAAAGGAGAATCAGATCAACAGATTCTTTTTAACAGACATTGATATATGGTAGAATCTGTTAGTTCTAAATACCTTTTTCCTTGGAATTTATTTTTGAAAACTAATGGGCAGAAATGAGATTGAAAATACATCTCCCTAATGTTTTTAATTGAATATTAAGTCTCTAATATAAACTTAAACTTTGGTGTTATAGGGATACTCATGTCATTTTTCACTATCATCATTATTAAAAATTTCATAAAACCTTATGAAACACTAAAAAATCTATTCTTACATTTTATGCCACACGAGATATGATTAAAATGACAAATTTGCAAATAACATGAATAAAGTATTTTGCCTTTATCCAAAGCAAATGCATTTTGCTCCTAAGAGTGTTTAATCAATTTCATTTTTCAGGAAGAGGAAAGGAGGGTGATAAAAGAATTTACAGTTAGAACTGGTATTTAATGAAAGACAAGTATTTGGCTTGTGATTATAAAATAATTGCTGTAGTTATTCTGAGTTTATTTAGGAGTCATGGATTTTGACATGAATAAAAGCAAATTATGATTCTATTAACATTCAAATTTATCTGTTTCGGACAGAATTGTTAAAAGTTACTCTGTTTTAGTCATGGAATAGTAGAGTCCATGTTAAGAAATCTTATGTCTGTGTATGTATACAAATGTTCACTTCAAGAAGCACCAGATCTACGTTTATAGAATAAGTTTCAAAGAACAGTTTAAAATATCATAAAAACTTAGATGGAGAAGTTTAAGACACCTTCTGCTACTTTACACTCTTTTTCCACTACATTTTACCCTATTCATCAGAGAAAGTGCTAATACGAATAGTCAAATCTAATCACCATCTTTGGACCACTGGAAATGAAGCTTTAGGGAAGATGTGGGCAAAAGCCATAGCTCTGTTAACATTTCAGCCTCCTTGTGTTTGCTTATTCCCCAGCAGCTGGCGTAGGTCAATGACCCAGGAGCTGCATTTTACTTGAAAGGGGCCTCTGCATTGAGAAGGTCAGAAACTAGTACATTAGCCAAGCTCTCCTTTAAGCCTTCTTTTCATTGGTGCATATTTCTTTAGAGGCATCTTTCTGTGCTACCAGGATGTTAAACATTACCTTGAGGGAAGTAGGATTGAGAGTGAGCACAGGAGAAGGAGACTAAGGCTGTAAACTTCTATCTACCTCAAGCTTGTCCAAACCACAGTCCATAGGCTTGTAATACGGCCCAGGATGGATTTGAATGCATCCCAACACAAATTCGTAAATGTTTTTAAAACATTATGAGATTTTTGTGTATGTCTTTTCTTTTTTCGTTCATCAGCTATGGTTAGTGTTAGTGTATTTTATGTGTGGCCCAAGATAATTCTTCTTCCAGTATGGCCCAGGGAAGCCAAAAGATTGGACTCTCCTGAATTCTGACTATTACAGCTTTATATGGTCCAACTTAGCCCATCAGGAGACCACTTCAAGATTTTTCAGCTAAAGCTCTGGTGAATAATAAAGAGGATACATTTACTTGGCCTTTTCCTCTGTGCATTTTTCTCCCTTTCATGGACTAAGTGGGGGCAAAAGTGGAGATGGTAGGTAATTGGTCAAGACTTCTGGATGTTGGGTTTTACCTCTCTTTAAGTTACTTCTTGGCTAAAGATCTCAGGATACTCCCTTCTTTTTGCCAGAACAAGAGTTCATAGGTACTGTTAAGTAAGACAGTAAGGAATCAGAACTCCATGAGTCATTAGTCAGTCAGGAAGCAGTTTCCAAGAAGTTTGTTAATTCTCTCCTTGAGATACTATTAAGTAATAATCTGCTATTAACAATTTGGTTTCTTAGCCCTCTGGCTGGTACAATCTTTTTTCTTTAGCTGTTCTAAATGACTAAGAATATTCTGAACACTCTTAATACCTCCAGCCCCTACCTTAAGAGAGATGAACAAAAAGGGGTTTATCAATGGTCAAGCTCCAGGAAAATATCTTGTAAACCTTACCAAAAGTTAATGATTCCAGTGACTTTTAAATCTAACATAAAGGTAAGGAAAAGGCAAAATTCATGGTGAAGAACAATGTGTGCTACAAACTAAGGATTATGATGAACCAATTCTGTGTATTTATCATGTAACTTAAAAAACTACTTAATGACTTTAAGAAAAAAGAAGGCCTTCGAATGTATTGTCATTTAGAATGTGGCACTAGAGAACTCATGAAAAGAAAACACTGATATAATAGGATATTTGCTTAGTATTCCATAGAGATGTAAGGACAATGGGAAGTCTCTTGCTTCTTCCCAACAGAGGAATACTGAGTACCAGTGAATGGAGAGCAGCCAAGAATGGAGTGATGGGTAACTGATATTCTTGAACCTCAAACTTGGGATAGTTTTTAACACTGACAAGAAGAAAGCAGATAACACAGTCCAGAGCTGACTGTAATAGTTTTTCTAAATGTGAGCAGCATGAAAAATGATGTTTTATAGGATGAAATAGAAGAAATCTCAGCACTGGGTGATGCCATCCAATTGCAGAATTCAAACTGCTTCAAAGCACCAAAACAAGGATATGTAACATATTCATAATATGTGTCTTCATAAGTCCTGTACTTTCAAAATGAATCTAAAGCCTTTGGAATGACAGTAAAAATAACCACCTGAAATATTTATAAAAATAAAGAAAAATCATGAAACGGGTTACTCACAAATGGGATTCATCTTGCTATTAATTCAAACGGAAAATTCTTTCACTGACACATTTGCCAAACCGTTCCATTTAATTTAGGAAACGCCACTTTGTTTCTCCTGAATTGCTAAAACTGTTGTACTCTAAAATCCTGTAGCTAAGGTTTAGCTCTACTCGGTTTGCTTGTATAAAATTTATTATACATCATTTTAAATAAATGCTTAGATGAACTAATGCTTTTAACCCTTCTAAGTACAATTGCTTCTGCAAGGAATTTTTCCATGAATCATCTAGTTTAGATGGTTTGAATAGTATTTTGAATTTCCTTTCCCCTTTAATTTCAGAACTTACATGTTTTTGTGTCATTTGCAAATCAAAGCTTCAAAATATTAAAGTTTTGGGGTAAAGATGTTTAAAGAGATTTCTTCAAAATGTTTTGCTGGAGACACATAGATATCACTCATTATACTACAAAAATGTAAATCACACTTTCCTAAGGAAACAAAAATCACAAAATTTTACAAGAGTTATCCAATGAAAGCAAGTTCAGGTTCAAAGAGATGAGAAGAAAGGAGTAATTTTGCATTCAGCATACATGATGTTGCAGCAATTGTGGATCCCTTATTTCTGCCAGCTATGGCTTAGTAAAGAAATGGATGCTATTGTGAAAGTCATCCCCTGAAAACAGAGATGAGAGTAAGTAAATGAGTGAGAGTTGATACAAATTCAAGTCATTTCGCAAAGGATTTTACAATGATGGATTACAAGACGAATTCTCACAAGTTGGCAAGGTTTTCCAAAGTCTAGCTTTTATGAACATTGTTTGAACAAGTGGTATAGAATTTACTGTATACTCTGTGAATTAACATTATTTATTTATTTATTTAGTTTACCAAGTTGGAATTCTTTAGGATCACCAAATAACGGGATTCAAAAGTAAAACAGCTGAAAAATCCAACAGTCTGGTCTAACCTGGGATGCTCTGTCTCCTCACAGCCAATGCTCCATCAGGCGGCTTTGTCTGGCTGGCGGATTTAGTGTAGGGACTCTCATCTGCAAAGGTACAATGAAGCGTTTGGTTAATTTCCATCCAGTTTCTAATGCAGTGAAGATTTTTAACGGATTGCAATCCTTCTGCGAGAGAAAAGTGGTATAGCACAGTGGAAAGTGTTGGTAGGCCTGGGTCCTAAACGTGGCTAACTGTGAGATAAATCTTTGAAAATGTCATGAATATATTTCTTCCCTTATAAAAAAGGGATAAAATTCTCATCTACCTCTTAGGGTTGTCAGGATCAAAAGCTCTAGTGCTCGTGAAGATGTTTATAAAATGGTAAGAAGTATGCAAATACAGTATACAAATTGTTTGTCACCTACATTCATGGATAAATAAGTACCAGTGAATAGGTGTAACAAAGACAAAGAAGAAATAAAATGGCTCAGTGGGCACTAAGAATAATCAGGTAGAAGAATAAAGAAAATAAAAAGAAAGGTAATATTTCAGATAAGCAGATGACAGAGTGTTAGTATTGCAAGGGAAATAAAGACACTCAGTTAGTAGGTTCCTCCTGGGAGTGTGAACTGGCAGCCAGTGCAAAGCAGAGGGACAGAGATGTTCAGAGGAAAGACCAGAGGAAGTTAGGTTGAGAATAGGGAAGGAACGATGGTTTGGCAAAAGAAGACACATATTGCAATGATCTGGTTTGTGCTCTTTTAGAAAGAGATGAAAATAACTTGCAGAATTATTAAAAGAGCAACTGTGAAGAAAGGAGGTCTAAAGCTTAATGTAGCTGTGAGAGTTAGGCAAGAAGCTGAATGATTAAAACAAGAGGTGACAAGATCACGGAGACAATGGGTCCATTCAGTGCTAAGTAAGGTGATTTTTTTTTTTTTTTTTAAACCTAGGAAAGGATTTTATCTGGCTAGGAATAAAGGAGTAGTGATCTAGGATGGCAAATATTAAGGTTAAAATAGAAAGGAGCCATTCTTCCTAATTGGAATGGGGCATTTATAAAAAGTCAAAGACATGCCTGAGTAACAACCTTAAAAATTTTAAGAATAAGATGTACATGGCTTGAGTAAATAGAATGTAAAATAATTATCTAGCATATTCAGTCAAGCTAGATAACCTAAATGACACTGCTGGCCACACTATAAGATGTATTATTGTTGTTACCATTTTATAATAGCAGGAAATTGTTAAAGAATTTAAAGGAATCATATTGTACATGACCAACTATTAAATATAACAAGAATTTATTCAGAACAAGACTTTATCATCTGAGAACATTAATTCTCCCAACTAAATGCTTTGTGTTTCAAAATTGAGAAACTCATTTCCTCTCTAGGATGAACTTCTGGTTTGAAATGATTCATGATTTCTTCATAAAACTAACAAGGTCTTTATAAGCAATGACAAAAGGAAAAGATTAACACTGCTGTAAGTAGCAATTAACTTAAAAAAATAGAAGTCACGCTGTTTCATGTTTATATTTGTCACACAATTCTTTATGTTCTTCCAACCAAACTACCAACTTTCAGACACCAAAGCAATCAACATTATCATTTTTGCTTTAGAAGTGGTATCTTAGGTCTTCGACTCCTCTCTTTGCAAACACCATTTTGAGTATAATCAAAACCCACAAAACAAAATACAAAATGCAAATATTACACTATAAATGTCTCCTTTGCCCCACCATTGTTACTTGAATATTTGTGCGCTTGTCTCACAGTGTTAATTTAATAAACAGGCAATATGCTTCAATTAGCACCTTCTAAAACAAATGTACTATGTGTTAAAACCCGGGATTCTTATAAGACTGCTTTAAAAATGTATTTCTTTTCATTGTCCGAAACTTTGAAATGGTGTATTTACGAGCATAGAGCACCGAGCCAGGAAATAATCACAACCACCAGGCTTAGGTATGGCATCTTGGAAGCCTAAAAGCTTTCCTCAGTTTTAGATTTGTCAAGATTCCAGCCAATTAAAGTCTTGAGTTGAATCCAGTGTTGGACTTTTGTAAAGGGCAAAAAGAGATTTCCCAGGAGACTCTGGGGCTATCTGCACTTGATGCTCTATTTTAAGGAATTATTTCTTTAGAATTTAAGTAGTCAACCCTGGTAAAATGGCTTTCTCATTTATATTTGAAAACAACTTCCTTGATTTAGAACTGAGATTGTCTAGTTGAGCACATCCTTAAAAGGTTGAAACTGAATTATAGATGACCACCTGGCCAGCCTCTTCACCACCACCCCCAACCTCCACTCCTGCTCCCAGTATCAAGAGTGACCTTACTGAGCACAGGCAAAAGTAAATAATTATCTAGAAGCCAAATCTTGCATTGGCTAAAGGACCAGAATGAAAAAGTTCAGTGTTATCTAATGTAGTTTAAGCATTGTTATTGCTTTCACTGATTGTCAAAGCCAATCATGCCAAAGCCAATCAGTGTGAAAGCAATAATTCCTAGCGGAAGGGAGGCAGAGGCTTGGCAACATTGATCATGAGCATTAAGGATAGCAGAGCAGCAGAGCAGCATGGCACAATAAAACATTAGTTTTTAGGAGACTTTCCTTAAGAATGTCTCTTGATTTTAAATACCTTAGAGGCACCGTGGTGCTTTATAAAAAGCTACCCATCACGGAATGAACACCAGCTCTCTTGATGTGATTTACTGAAAGTCAACTCTTGATTCAAACTTGTTTGAAAATTGAAACAGAGGAAAAACACTGAATGAATCCGTGGCTGATAGCTCCACAGTAGGATACTAAAGGACAAGAATGTTCAGGGTGTATTTCTAATCCCTGAGCATAAAGTCATAGAGAGCTACGGAGGCTTCTATCTTCTTCTGTGTCCCTTAATGCAGCTTTAGAGATCCATCCCTAGAATTTCATGCTTATAAGGTATAATCTGGACCACTCTTTCATTATAAATGGAACTGAGGCCCAGAAAGATAAATTTATAGAAGGGACACACATCTAAATTGAGTCTAGATGGAATTTCTTAAATTCTTAGTCCCAGATTCGTTCTTTATTTCCTTTTGGATAGACAATAAGATTTCATAGGTCATCGGGTCCACATGTTGCTGTGTCACGGGAGTGAGTGACTGGGCACACTGTACCAGCAGAGACGTTGTATGGTGTAACTTCATTGCTACAGGGAAGTCTTTGAAAATGAGCCTGAGCCACACAGCCAATCTTTTTTGTGTGTATATAAATCGCATTCTTCCTTCCTCCACATATTTGTTGCCTAAAGCAAACAACACTTAAAAATGGTACTACAGAATTAATTTATCCTTTTCAGTTCATTTCTTTGAAGATAACATTTAAAAGCAATGTCAATATAGCTCACTGTTCCTCAGGAGGAGCCTTAAAAGACTCACTGAATTATAAAATCTATTTTAATACTTTTCCTTTGTTTCATTGGAGAGATACTAACACGGTTTTCAAGTCCCATCCAAATATATAAATGAATAAAAAAACAGGTCAAATGACAAGGAAAGAAATCAATCAGAACCGTACCTGGCACATCATAGGCATTCACTGAATGTTTGTTGATAGAATATGTGAATGAATTATATTCACTTTTTCAAACTAGAGCATTTATTGTAAACAAAGAACCTGAAGAAAGCCTAACATTTGTTATAAGCTAGATTCCCTCCTACCTCTGCTTTTCTTTCTTTAGGTTGATAGCCTATTCCTTTTAAAGTCATGTCATCAGCCAATCGCTATTATGTATTGACTTAATGTGAAAAATCTGACTTTATAAAATTGGTATTAAAATATATTTCCTTTCATTTTTCATTCAGACTATAGAAGGATTTATTGATCAACCTTTAAAATAATGTCTTTAAATGAAAGAATTATGATTTTCATAGCAGACTCTCAGCCCAGATTTGGATGATCATATTAACATGGGATTCTCACTAAAAGTCACTACAGGGGCAAAGCAGACATTCAGCTCGTGAGCTACTGCTCACTTAAATGAATGCTTCAAGCAATCATTAAGGGCATCTCAGAGTGTTAGCATTGCCAGCCTTTTCTAATGACATCTTAAGCAGCTAGGTAATCACTGTCACACATATGGCCCTCCTTAGGGGCTTACGTGCTGGTCGCAATAAGGAAGAACAGGGGTCCCTTTAGAGTGACATCTCATGAGGCTAGGGAAAAATGCCCTCCATTAACAGGAAGAACTGACATGGTGACAAAGGCACAGAAAGGGTTAGTCAAGCATACACTTAAAAGAGAAGAACAACAATAGGGGGACCATCTGTCCCTCTCATTCCCCCCAATTTGGCCAGTCTCCTCATGTGCCAAACACAGGAGGGGCAAACACAGATAATTTGTTTTGATCACTTATTCCAAGGGAAGCTGGTGTTTATAAACTTGGAAAGCAACCAGCGGTCACCTAAGCTGCAATGCTTCACTCTGCATCACAACCCACCTATGCTGGAGCTGGGAGAAACACATCATGAGGAAGGCACTCAGGTCCTCTCATGCTCTCAAATCCTCCAATGTTTGCCTGGCACCAAACAGCATCCTTGTGTCATCAGGCTGGTTCCTGCCTCTCCATTTCCTGAGATTCTCATTTCTCACTCTGGGCTACGCAGAGGAACCTGATACGAATATGGTTTCAGGAATTTCTAGTTGTGTTCAAAGCCTTGCTAAAGAAAGAAAATTTAATTTCCTTTGGCTGAGACTAATCAGCCTATGCTAAACAATTCCTAGCAACTGATTGTGCACAATTGAGGCACCTGCTAAGCCAGCAGACCCCTTAACATCTTGATTAGGGAAAAAAAAAGGCATTTGGTACAGTTAAACATTATGACCATTTCCTAGCAGCGAGGAGGCAGGCACGCCATGCCACAGTGCTAATGCATGTCCTTATAAACTCAGAAGAAAAGTCTGGTTTTCATTCCACTGCAACCAAAACAATCTGTCCCTTGAATTCAATTAAATGCCACACAATTTAGTGCCTACTATGTGCGAACTAAGACTCAAAGTAGATAAAAGATAATGAAACTTTCAATGGAGTGGTGATGGCGTAATCATTACTCCCT